AACAAATTTCAAACTACCATTTTAGATCAAACTTATAAGTGTTACGCGTATCCTATATTACTTTACGGTTCAATTCTCTATTCATCTACTAGTGCTAAAAATCTTTCTTTAATATCTAGTACACAATACAAGTTTGCTTTAGTTGTAACTGGTTGTTTGCACTTAACGAGTAGGAGTACAATACTCCACATTTTAGGATGACAAGACATACTTAAAGTTTTTAATCAACAGAAAATTCTCCTTATGTTTAAGGTAGTGAGAGGATTAACACCTAGCTTTTTAGCAAACAAAATTTCTCTTCTTCATCATAATCATAATCATCAGACTAGAACTCAAGTAGAAATGAAAATTCAGGGTAACTGGAAAACAGAGAGGCGTTTTATGAGTAAAACATTTGAAATGTCTTTTTTTCCGTATGCAATCAAAAAATGGAACGAATTAAACGATGAGTTGCGAGCATGTAAGACTTTAAGTACCTTTAAAACAAAACTTAATCCACAAATAGACGTACTAAGGGTCTTTCGAGTTTACGGTGTTAAGCGTGAAATAGATAAACTATACTACCAAATGCGATGCAACTTCTCATCATTAAATAATGATCTTTATATCAAAGGATTAGTGCCTGACAAAAATTGTTTATGTGGGAAGAAGGAAACAGTAAAACATTATTTACTATATTGTTCTCTTTACAACGTACAGCGTGCTGTACTTTTAAATCAATAAATGATTCGATATCAAATCCAGATTACTCATTAACAACTCTGTTATTGTTAACTAACACAATTCCTAAAGATAATTATTGTGTTATCTATTGTTTAGTTGTTAAATACATTGATGAAACCTTAAGATTTGCTGTTGACAGATAAATATTATGTTAACTATAAAAGTTATGTAATCTCTCTTACTATCCCTCTCTCTCACGCTCTTTCTTTTCTTTTTTTTTCAGTGATTAGGATTTTGTTACTCCCACTCACATATTGTAACATCAAAGACATATTTATTTATATCATTTTACTATAGTTTATGGTAATCAAGGAGACGGTGCAATGACTTCTGTCGATTCCATCTTTAAGATTACATATTCTTGAATACGTTCTTTTTTTCCTTGTTATTTAAATAAATACAGTTTTAAACTAAAGTATTTAGTATCATTGAAAGTTAAAACTACTGTGAATCATTCTTATATTGAGCAATAACATTCTTTTCTTTTTCTGTTTCTTTATTTCAATCTAAAAAAAGCATAAAAAAGAAAAACAGGAACGAATCGATTTTGTCTTCTTTAGATGTTATTTCAATGTGCGTTGTCTGTTTTAGTTGTATAAGTCGTGCAGGGTGATTGTAACATAGTTACAGTGAACAAAAGTAAACTCCAAATTCCCCGATCTGGTGCTGTTCACTCCGATTAATCGCGATAATGTAATCTCTTTTAGATGAAATTGCGATCTGTTTTACTCGGCATTTGTCTTCGAGAACAGATCTGCGGAGAATAATAAGACAAGCAAGGACGGTGCATTCTTCATGGTGTCATATTTCTGTTTGTTTCTCCATTAGCCTAAGAAATTTTTCCAGTAGGAAGAAAACTTTGGACAAGCGACGATACGCACCAGTGGCGATTGGTACCTGTACGGCACGGATGCGCATCGACTTTTAAATAGAAAACGTTTTCCAAAACATCTCGACTGTGTGTTTGTTTGGTTTATCAAATTTTTTAGTCTAACAGTTCTACAAGATTCGTTCTTTTTGCTCAAAGAATACCAACTCTCTTCAGAATTTTTGAATACAAATTAACGAGAGAATGGTATTGAAAATATCTCATTTCCTTTTCTTTATCAGTTTTTTTTGCAAATTTCTTTATTTCATGACAAAGTTTATTCTTAAAATATGGAAGAGAGCCAAATGAACGAAAACTATTTCCTCCTTCCTCTTTCCTTTTTTGTCAAGTTTCATGAAAGTCTCTAAAGAGAACCTAGTTAGGCATAATTTCGTTCTAAGCGCGACATAACATGCGTTCCTAAAAATGGAACGTGTGCCGTGTCCCGCTCAGAACGAAATTGTGCCTCACGGAGAATATACCCAGGCTGATTGAGAAAGAAGTTAAAACTGTATTGAATTTTAAGTTCTCAAAATCCGTCAAATACTCGTTTTCCGTTTGTCATGCACTGGAAAGCACGTAGAATAATCAATACAAAGAAGCCCGTGCTTTTCCCGTCTGCCGTTAATGTCTTTCTTTGTTCTTCCTATATATTATTGTATGAATTAGAACAGTCTGTGGTTTAAAAACATTGAGAAATGTTGTTCAATGTGAATGATTGTATCTAACAAAAATAGGACGACGATATTCGGATACTTCGACTATAAAGGGAAGAAAATGAGTGCGAATCTATTTTTGAATATTGAGCTGTATTGAATATGGAACACTGCTGGCAGATGTTGCGAGCTAAGCTAAATTATAAATTGGTGTGTGTGTGATGAAAAAAAAGCCAAATGGCGGAATTTGGAGTTTACTTTTGTTCACTGTAACTATGTTACAATCACCCTGCACGACTTATACAACAAACAACGCACATTGAAATAACATCTAAAAAAGACAATATCGATTCGTTCCTGTTTTTCTTTTCCATGAGTTTTTTAGATTGAAATAAAGAAACAGAAAAAGAAAAGAATGTTATTGCTCAATATAAGAATGATTCTTTTTGTTTTATTTTGGCATTTAATTTAAGATAGGTTACATTAAGATTTTCAACAAAAAACGTTAACATGAAAACGAGAACAAAACCATGTTGCCAGGAAAGCAAAAAAAGTGCTTAGCACCTGTACGACGGTTGCCACCTTTACACTACCGCAATCATATTTGCAGGTGTTGGCGCAAACGAGTTTTGAAGTCTTTAATAGTGGGAGAGCTCGCTAGAGCCTCGGGTAGGGTTGTGTTCCGCTCCCGAGCAGTTCGGTAAAAGAAACTGCTGAGGATGGTCTGAGTTCAAGCAAAAGGAACCTGGACTTGAGCTTGATGTAGAGTGTTACGAATCGATTGTCTGTTTGGGTTATGTCTGATAATGCCTAATCTAGAGAGGGGTGAGAATCCTCTAAAAATTTTGAAAAAGAGCACGAGCCTGAAATATTTACGTCTCATCGAAAGCAGAAAAAGGTTCAATTTGTTCACTAGATCAGATCCTGCACTATTAAAATCCCGTGTGATAATATGTGCAGCCAAGCGTTGAACAGATTCTAGACGGGTATTGTTATTTGCAAAGTCACTAGCATACAGTGCATATGCATAGTCCAGCTTACTCAAAATGCAAATTTTATAGATTTGAAGCCGGTCGTGAGCAGATGCTTCTTTAAATTGGCAATACATCGCTCCAAGACGTTGTCTACAAGGCAACGCGAGGTCTTCTACGTGCTGAACTCATCTCAAGTTGTAACTTATCTTGAGACCTAACAGGGTTAGATGCATAGCTCTATTCATTAGGGTTCCTTGATTTAAAGTAAACTGGTAATTATCAGCTTTTTCTGGACTATTAGAGACAAACATCCAAGAGCATTTCGAGACGTTGAGTGACATTAAGTTACCCAAACACCAATTATTGATGTGATCTATGCTAGCCTGGCAGTTGGAGAGCGAATGTGAGACAGAAATGGGACAAATCAACGTGCAGTCATCAGCAAAGAGGATCGAATCAGCCGGCAGTGAAACCTTTGACGATAGTTCATTAATGAAAATTAAGAATAGGAGGGGTCCTAGAATTGAGCCCTGAGGTACCCCAGCGATTACTCGACAGAATTTAGAGAGTGAAGTGCCCACTCTCACTTTGCTGCCTTCGACCACTTCAGTAATTAGAGAACCATTCAAGAGCACTAGTGGAAAGCCATAAAGACGAATCTAGCATCGTTCCTCGCATTAATAATCTTTATTTACCAGACCATCTCGAAAAATATCAAAAATTAGTGCAGCCTCAAGTGATTTTATTCAACAAATATTTTATTGAAAAGTAAACATTCTCAGAGTATCGATCACATGACGTCAAATCAAATTCGGTTCTTTTTCATCACCAGAAACAGCTGTTTCTAATTAATTACTTCCACAAAGGCACTTGATAAAAGCTTGTACGAGTGCACCGGCACATATACACAGAGCACATACAAGAGACAGTGCAAGTGACAAAAGCCCCGATCCGTATGAGATCAATATTATTATATAAATAGCAAAGTCATATGTTTTTAATTGTGCACTTTGTTGAAGTGATTGACTTGCATATACCACTGCAGTTATTATAAGGATCGGAGTTACTATTGTGCTCAGTATAATATCGAAGGGGGAAACTGCGGACTTTAAAGTCCTCTAAAATCTTCTAAATTCCCAAAGTCCCGTCAAGTCCTCTGACGTACCCTAAAGTCTGGTCAAGTTCCGTTCAAGTCCGATTAAGCCTCAAAACATCCATGTGACACAACGGCGTATTTCTTTGAGTATCACGACTATTTATTCATAAAACTGACGAGACAAATAAAAATAATAAATTTTCTGTCACCTGTACTATAACTGGAATGCTACAGAGAAAATATTTGACGTAGAGAAGTGTTGAACAGGAAATGAGTGTGATCTATTCTTCTCTGCAGGATGCATACACATATAGAAAAAAAAACGCTTTCTGCTACTTCATTAGAAAATTAGGTACTTTTTGCCGCGAAGCACCAAATTAGGTAAAAGTTGGGCGCTATGTGCAAACCTTTTCGGTGAATCCGACAGCGGGTTCCTTATAATTATACTTTGACTTCTTTTCTGGCGTCGACATAATCTACGTGGTTTTTTCCTAAATTTTATTTTTCTCATTGGCTGAAAAAAAGGCGCCACTATCAACCATGTAGCCTTTCCTTCGAACAAGGCAGTTCGCTCCTCATCAAACGGTATGGCAAATGTTTGATCTTGATTACAAGTAATAAAATGCGAGAATTCGTTTTTGATTTATTCACGAGAATTATCAAAAGGGCAAAAAAAAGGCAGTTCATTGGTAAACTAAACTGTGTGGCTGGCAAATAATGGTCCAGTTATTTTGTACTGCTTGTAATTCATTCAGTCTTATTTCAGTACTTTTCAAATCATTCAATAGGTTTTCTAATAACTCATTTGAAAACCATACGTGCTGCTCCGTTTTGCTTGTATTGACTAAGTCATTTAGTTTCAAAGCAAATTCTTGTACCTTAGACCCATCGATAACAGATGCACTATCTTCTCTTGTGGAGCAGCTTTCACTCTTAGAATAAATAATTTTCGTCGCAACAGTCACAGCTGCAACAACAGCAGCCACACTATTAAAGCCAAGTGTTACTAACCATGGAGACAACGATGGAATGACAAGTGCTACTGGACTGACTACAGCTAGTACAAGTAACATAATTACAGTACCAGAACCAAGTAGAAATAAAGGTGAATATTTCTCTTTCAAATCAGTATCATTATCACAAATATTTTTCAATAACAATTGAATAGGACCACCAATTTGATCTGAACGTTCAGTCATTGAATCAAAAACCATCTGCCATGTTTCGTAGAGATCTTGACGAGATTTTTCATTAGTTTCTGGTAATAAAAGTGCTTTCTCTACTTTTAATTTCGTTTGTTGTACTAACTCAAGTTGTATCTGATACATTTCAAAACGAACTTTCTGACAGACAGATAAACATTGCTTTTTATACTTGATATCAGTCAGTGTCTTTGAATTTCGAACATCATTTTCAATAGTTTTTAAAAAATAATCAATTTGTTGTGTTAACTGTACTTGCATCTGTTGACCATTGGTTTGTTCCATTTTTGTCTTCGGTGTGATAAAGGGCAGTGATAAATAAAACCTCAAGGCTATATATATTATTTTTCTTGCAACAACGATGAGTAATGTTTACTTCTTTTTCAAAGTCACATACTTATCAGTTAAAAGAGAGAAAAGCAACTCCTTCTTGTGAAATGAAACACCAGATCAAAACAAAGGTGATATATATTATTTTTCTTGCAACAACGATGAGTAATGTTTACTTCTTTTTCAAAGTCACATACTTATCAGTTAAAAGAGAGAAAAGCAACTCCTTCTTGTGAAATGAAACACCAGATCAAAACAAAGGTGATATATATTATTTTTCTTGCAACAACGATGAGTAATGTTTACTTCTTTTTCAAAGTCACATACTTATTAGTTAAAAGAGAGAAAAGCAAGACTGAAAAATGTTGGACTTTTTGTGACATACTTTACTTTTTTTTTTTGATTTAAATTTGCTATTTAAAGGAGAGAGCTGTAGCACACCTTTTTACTCAACTCTTTCGCCTTGATCAAACTAACAACAAGTACATTGAAATGATTGCCAGTTCAGAACTTCTACCCAATGAAGAAGACGTCAAAGAAGTACTACACGGTGCACACAATAAATTCTTGAATGAAGTTGAAAAAGATATAAGCCGTTCGAAATTCATTGAAAAGAAATGGCAGAAAGCTTATATTGGTAATTGTCGTCGTCTTCGTGATGAAATGTATGAATATCAATTTGAATTTATTCAAGGCACACTAGCTAAAGTTAATAGCGCTTTACTTTTGAGTGAAACTGAGAAAGATGCTGCCAAACGTACTGATCTGTTCTTAGCATTTCAAATGATCTTCGATGATATTGCTGTTCGATGTACACACGTTGATAATCAATTAAAAATAATACTGAAAGCAGTTGCTGATCAAGATCCAGACTTTTCAAAGAAATATATTTGCTTTATGGGTGTTAGTATCGGAACCGCAGTTGTTGCTGGTGCTATTGGTGCTGTACTATTGTCAACTGGAATTTGTGGTGTCTCAGTTGCTGCAATTCCAGTTTTAATTGTTGCTGCTGTTGCACTAACTGCTGCAGCCGGCTTTTTTCTGTACAGAATGTGGACAACAAAGACGAAACTGCAAACAAAGGCATACGTTTATAATTGGGCAGCTCAATGTTTTCCAACATTTGGTAAATTGGGACCACACGATAATTGTAGTGATAAAGAATTGGAAGATAAATTTCATAAAATTCTCTGTACAATGAGAGCAGATGAAGATGTATGG